GCCACGGTAATGCTCCATCACTGAACCAAAATTTCCTCCAGCCTTCCCAGCATTTGTCCTCTGAAATGCCTGAATCTGTATGAAGGCCTTCACACAGCTGAATTGCTCACAGCAAAATTAGGAGGAAAGCTCAGCAAAGTGTTGAGAAGTCAACCAACCCGTAGCTGGGTCAGCTCTACTCCTTGTTGCCTGCCAGCATTTACTGTAAACCCCTGTGGGGTGGAGAGTGGAGAGCAGAGGAGGAAGCAGGGCATCCTTATGTTGTAGCAATGGTCTGTCTTCCCCCACTCAACCAACACAAGTTTCTGCTATGGGCTGTTGTTTGAAATCCCTAATTTTCATGGTGTGTTTATTGACTTGATCAGATAATGCATTGGGTAGATCAAATAGCTTATTAACTTTTAGGGCAGGTACATTGCATCTTGATTATATAATTTAGGTATTTTGTTGCAGAACTATAATAGGTTTGGGCATTAAATCATCTACTTATTTTTCCCCCCAATAAATAGGAACATGGGTTATTCCTGGGTGGAGGAACATTACTGTTGCAAGCCTGGACTGTGCCTGCTGTCTCACCTGGAACATGGGGAAAATGTGGTGGGTGCTGTCACTCGTGTTTTGCTCACTGGAAAGGTCCCACCCCAGCCCTGTTTGTACACAGTGAGCTTGGGGGGTCCCTGCTGTGGAGATAAGGGGGAATGGGTGACACTGGGATGGCACTGCAGTACTGGCAGGGCTCATCTGACCCATCAAACACTATAGGACCTGGCTGGAGTGATCAGTGCCAATGATTTCAGGCAGCTCCTGGGGGAAGCAGCAGCACTGCTCTTCAGCAGGATTATTTTGTATTTGATTTGACTTTTTTTTGCCTGTAAAAGATTCCTGCAAACACTGAGCTTTTAAATTAAAGGGAGTTAATGAAAGTGTACCTGTGATAACTATTACTGGATCCCTTGTACATTCAACAGTCACATTAAGATGATTTCTTGTTATCTCTAAATCCATTCCAGAGGCATGTTCTCACTGTTACAGCCCTCCTGTGCACCATCATAGGTGCAGGTTTGCTGCCCAGCATGGCAGATAAAATACTGTCCAACTGCGTTGCTACAGCCCAGACTTGGTTTCTTAATTTTTTTTTCTGAGTCAGATGAGCTGGGGCTTAGCAGGAACTCTGCTCAGCCTTTCCCTCAGATAAAGCATGTTCATGTACCCACATCACCTGGGCATTCTTAACGCAAATGGATACTTCATCTAAAATGAGAGGAGATCTTTGTCTTGTTATAAGAATAGCAATGCAGTTTTCAGCTGAGACTGTGCTGCCTTCTATCAGACAATATCAAACAAGACAGAAATGGAGTACTGTTTTGGTGTAGACAAGGCTGCCACAGCCACTCTGGTCCCTCGAATGGATTAGGCAGAGTTTACTGTCAAGGCAGACTGTCCAAAATATATTTGGTGCATTGTTAGTCACAGGTAGACCATGAAAAATGCATTTTCATATAGCAGTCATTTCATTTAGATTGAACCAGGCATTGTCCCTGAGTTCTTCTCTCTGATACAGATGGGGAGTTTTGCCACTGTTTAGTGTTGGCCCTATTCGGATTCATTGGTTGTTTCCAATTCACAATGCTTGGTTGTTTGTTTGGTTTCTTTTTTTTATCGGGGGAGGGGGGCGGATATTTCTTTACTGAGAAGTCAGGTCAAATGCTGGAAGAGGCTTCCTAGAGAGCTGGTATGTGCTCCAAGGTTGGCAGGGCTTAAGAGGCATTTGGATAATGACCTTAATAACATGTTTTGTCATTTGGTCAGCCCTAAAGTGGTTGGGCAGTTGGACTGGATGATCATTGTAGGTGCCTTCCAACTGAAATAGGCTTTCTTCTTTTCTTTCCTTTTAATTTCCTTTTTTCCTTTTCTTTTCTCTCTCTTTTTTTTTTTTTTTTTTTTTTTTTGTGGTTTGTGTGTGTGTGTGTGTGTGTGTGTGTGTGTAGTAAAAATAAACTTTGGGTCAAACTAAGAAAAGCTGTGTGTGAGGTAGTTGCCTGGCACTCCTGAGCTCTGTGGGTTGTCCTTCTAAGCAGCATGAATCAGCCCCCAGATCCCACTCCCTGGACACCAGCAATATTTGGGATGTCCCGAATACGGCAGAGAGTCTGTGACCACCACCACTCCTTTGGTGCCAGGGAGCTGGGGGGTGGCTGTGCCCATCTGCAGTGCTAAGACCTAATGTCCCCTTTAGTGTTGGGAAGAGGAGCTGGGAATCACATCCCAGTGCTGAGCAGGAAGAGGTGGCATTTAGCAAAGCTTAACTTCTCACTGCATGGCCGCTCTTTGCATCCAGTATTTCATGTTTCACTGGGATTGCGTGTGAAGATGTTGTCACTAAGCAACAAAACATGGATTTTGCAGGAGATAGTAAGGTGATACTAAACCTCCTTTCCTCCTCCCTCTTCTCCAATCCACCGAGGTCACTAGAACTAGAGTCTTACCTGTGTGGTGATTGGGAGCCAGAGGAAGGATTGGTAGATAAGGGAAGAGAGGATAAGAATATCATGGACTAAATTCAAACCAGGTGTGCCAGGTGTGAAGGGAAAGCCCAACCAGGCAGGAGTCTTACTGTCCTCTCAGGGTCTAACCTTGAAATAAGGCAGGCAGCAGAGCAGAGTAGGAGGTGGACAAGTCACGAGCAGTTGAAGGATGCACTTGAAAACAGAGAGGGGGTCCTTCATCCACAGCACAGACCTCAGGACTCCCTTTGACCGCTCCACATCCAGAAACCCAGGAATAGACCAAACAGAGAAAATGGTACAAATTCCCTGAAACTGAAAATCTAAAACAGGGGTGAAAAGAGGTGTGGAACTGAGCCTTACAACAGAGCAATCAGCAAGGCTGATGCAGGGGCTTTTTTGGTACTGAGTGCGGACATTTGCCTGGTCGGTGGTCTGTGCCCAGCATCGTTGCTCTTTGCACTGCCACCAAAATAACCACCAACATCCCCAGAGTGATGAGCAGAGGCAAACTAACCCCAGGGTAAGGGTGAGGGTGATGGATGGCACATTTCCATCAGTGTCCTGTATGTGCAAACAGATAAAGCGTCACCTCCCAGCTGCCAAAACACTGCTGCCTTATCTACAGCTCAGCTGGGGGTGTGGGGAACAGGGAGAGGGAAAATATGACCCTGCTCATTCGGGAACAGCTCAGAACACCTCCTGGCCCAGGGTCTCATCAGAGCAGGTCTGCACAAAGCCAAGATAAAACTGCAGCAGGTTTCCCTCTTCCCCTGGGCGTTTTACACCAGCAGTCCCCAGGAGACCTGTATTTCCCCATCATGTGGCTCCCTGCTGACACACTGCGGGATGCCCTGCTCGCCCAGAAGGTCACTGTGCACCTGGCAGATGGTGTGTACAGCAAAAAGGAAAAGTACTGGGAATGAGCCACAGCCCTGGTATTTGTAGCACAGCAGCTGAAGAGTCCATGTATAAACCTGAACCCCATGGAACTGCACCCTGGATGGGGAGGCAAAGGGGTTCCCTCTATCTGGTCTCCAAAGAAAGGAGTCTCCTGTGCTCATGGTGTTGGTGTTCAGAGGTGTCTCCCTGGGATTTTTAAAGCTTTTAAACACATTTGCTAATTTCATCCACGTTTGATGGGACAGTACAGGAAGTTTTATAGGACAAAAAGATAGCTTTACACTGAAATAAAATATGTTTGGATTGATTATTAAGAAGAAATTCTTCCCTGTGAGGGTGGTGAGGGACTGGTACAGGTTGCCCAGAGAAGCTGTGGATGCCCCATCCCTGGAAGGGTTCAAGGCCAGGTTGGATGGGGCTCTGAGCAACCTGGTCAAGTGGAAGGTGTCCCTGCCCATGGCAGGAGGTTTGGAACTAGATCTTTAAGCTCCCTTCCAATCCAAATCATTCTGTGATTTTATGATTTTACTCAGCTGAATGCAGTGGTCTGGTAAGTGGATGTCTCCATCTCAACTAGTCACCCTGGCCTCTCTTTACAGCCACTGGCAAAACCCAGGCATTTCAGGTTGGAAACTTTTCTGATGCAGGGTGGGTGTTTCCTCAGAGACCCGTTCTCCCTGTGGATTTTCTAGGAAGCATAGATGTCTGCCCTGTAAATCACAACAGGTCATCATATGGCTCCTGGTCACATCTAGTGGTTTGAAATGAAGAGGCCTGTGTTAATAATATCACTGATCCCTCCTGTTGTTTCTCTAAACAGAGCTTGTGTGACCCCAAGCCCCCATTATAGACTGACCACAAGCTTTATAGGACATGATTTTGTATTGAAACCAACAGCAGCAATATTTAGAGAGCTATACAAAGGGAAAATCTGGTAGATTTATCCAATGTTTGCATTGAAAATATTATCCCAAAGCATTTGCACATATTTTGTCTTAATTTTGTGCTAAGTTTAAATGCATATTATCCATGGGCTTTGTTCTGACACCCCATGCAAGTTGCCAGTATTGATACACAATTCAAATACTACAGACCTGGGCCAGGTCCCTGCAGTGCCCTCCTCAGGAGATTTGTAAAGACACGGCCCTGACCAGGACTTCAGCCAAGTGTGGAAAGACAGGAACATCTCCTATTTCTTCCACTAGTAAAAATAGTCCTGTGGGACTCAGCTCTCCAAGGAAGTGAGAGATGGGATGGGATGGGATGGGATGGGATGGGATGGGATGGGATGGGATGGGATGGGATGGGATGGGATGGGATGGGCAGTCTTTACACCTTCCTCCAGGTTTATTTAGGATGCCATGGTAGGGAAGGAGAAACTCTTATCTAGTCTGCCTTGTGCTGGGAGTCTGCAATGGCGGTATCTTCTCTGGTGGCATCTTCCATGTGAACAAATGCCCAGAACTGGCTGTAGGGGTCATTTCAGTAAATTAAATTATGCCATTCAAGTCTCATTTCATGCCTCTTCTGCTCTGCTCCTTATCTAATTTACATTCACCTTACCTTTGCTTTTGTGCTTTCTCCAGGGATCTGCAGACACCCTGGCTGGCAAGGTGACATCCTTCCTGACATGACATCCTCCTGCATCCCTGGAGTCTGTACCCCCAAAAGACACAAAACATATTTGCAGCAGAGCGGGGCACATCCAATTACTGTACTTGTTCCATGAATCCTTTTTAATTCTCAGGAGTCTGTGGCCTTTCTCAAGCCAGAGGTGAGGAAAAGCCCAATCATTATTAAACTGGTGAATTGAGAGTTGGGTTTTGGGTTTTGTCCTTTTTTTTTAGGAGTAAAAAAAAAAAGAATGAAAGGGGAAAAGTTCCCTGTTTCACACCTTCTTAAGGTCACACTTCTTATTAAGGTTCCATTTAGAAAGAGCACATAATTTCTTAATACATGTTGAGGTGATTGATGAATCATTTATTGTATATTGCTATTGAACTGCTGGTCTCTAGAGCTGTGATTTAACCATCTATAACACCTGCAGCTGCCGTGTACACAGCCATCGATAATGCTGGAACACAAAGTATTCGTGTGCATAACGTGCTTACCACATCTAACATTTATGAATGCTCTATAAACAATTTATAAATGAAATTTTAATATACAGTGTAACCTATTTTTAATGTTGTGGCAGTTACATAACCCATTCGGCCTTGATTCATCTCGGTTAACTTCAGGCACCTTGTGGAGGTGTCTGTGTTTGTAGCCCTGTGCCATTTCCCTCTCATTGCTCACCTACCCCTGTTCTGCCCCAAATGTTCTGTAAACGTGTCTGTCAGGGATGCTGCAAGCTCAAAGGCTTCTGTGTGATGATGGAGCTGCACATCAGTAAGCCCCTCACTCACATGTGGGGTAGTGTGTTTCCTCACACTAAAGGAAAACACTCCCCTGCCTTTTCTTTCCCCTTTTCAACCCAAATCCATCACATGGGTTCAGCCTCATCTGGCCACACACAGAGGTGAAGCAGGCAAAAGGAATGGGGAGGGAATGGCATCTCTGCTCTGGGTCTGAGCTGTTGGGAAAGGAGGTGACAGGCAGATTCCTAAATTGGACCATGGCATCAGCCATGGGCCTGGACTGGTTTGTAAGAACATGGGCAGGCTTTGGAGAGCAGAAGGGTCCTGTTCCTGACACAGATTAGTGATGACATCCTCATAGCCATTAACAAGATGCTCATTGTTAAACTGTTTCAATAGCTGGCCTGATTTCTCTCTGGCAGTGTCTACACTGTTCTGTTCAAGCTGAACACATACTGAAAGGGGGCTGAAATCGCCCTTCTGCAGTCATGGCATCAGAGCACACTGGGCTGTAACAAACTTTTCTCTTCAGAGGATCCAGTGCTCCCTCATCACAGAAGTGGTGCTGTGTTTCCCCAGTGTTAACACAGGCCTTCCCTTATGCCAAGTGATTTCTGAGACGTTCCTGAGGAGTTTTCCTGTGGCTGTGGAGATGGGGAGGGTGAGAGGACGCCAGTGCAGCCTGTGCTGGTACCAGTCCTTGGAAGAGAAACACCTGGAAGAGCACCTGCAAACAGGAGTTAGCTGAGCACTGTTTCACCTGGTGCACAGCACTGGGTGCAACGTGGTTACCCAAGGCAATCTGTGTGTACGATTTACACCTTCAAGGTTCATTACTGTGGCTGGTACAGACACTCACTGAGCACATCTCGTCCTGGAGGGATGTTCTGCCCTCCCAGACTCACACAAATCTATCCCTCATGTCTCAAAATGCCAGTGCCAGATCTGGATGAGATGTCTTCTCCTTGTACCAGGCTTCCTGGGAGCCAGCAGTGATGGCCCATGCAACACAATGGGACGGGGGCCTCAATGCCAAATTTGCAGGTCCGAATGTGGATTGCATATCTGGACAAAGGTTTAGCAAGTTCCCCAGGCAGATGTGTGACTGAATTAGCTGTAAAAAGGTAGTCTATTCATGTGCTTTCCATTAATGTGCTTGATATTAGGGACATGCTTAGATATCTTACTGAATCAGGAACACAGGGACAGTGAGTAAGCAATACATGTTAATTGATGTCACCTACACACAGCACAAATCCCACTGGTGTTATGGGATAATTGATGCATCGTGAATGTAGTGGCCTAAGTATCATTCTAAAAAGCAACATCAGATGGTAATAAAACAGACACGATCTTGTGCAAATGAAATAACTCAAAATGCTTTAAAGATGCTCTTTTTAACAACTGAAGCTGGGTTTGAAGCAATTTTTTCCCCAACATGAACAAAGTTCTTGGAGGGGTCTAACAGAGACGCAGAGGAAGGAAGGAAGGAGAAATAGAAAGGGACAACTCGATCCTTTCTGCTGAGACCAAACAAAGAAAAGCAGAAATGTGCAGTGAGTGGAAGGATTGGTGTGAAGGATGGGACGAGAAAGAGTAAGATGAGAAACTAAGAGATAAAAGGATAATGAACAACCCAAGGACCCTGACCCAACCCCAGAATGGTCTAACTTGCAGAAGTAAACATCTATCACTGAACACTGGACACAACAGTTTTCCAGATCTTTGTGTCTTCTTTATTAACAAAAGAGCACTAGTGTTGACAAAGCTCTGTAAAGCCTGCACCTGTATGAAAGCCTTCAAATCATCCTACCTGTACTCAAACAGCTGAGTTGCAAGCCTAGAGCCCTAGAAGGCCTGCTCCCATCCCAAGGAGCTGGCAGCCAGCATTAGATTGTTTTTAGAGCAAGCAGGATGGATGCACAATCCCATTTCAGTGACAAAGTGCCCACACCCAGGAAGGGAGCCAGAGGATTCAAGGAAGGGAGAGTGCAGCTGGCTCTCACTAAGGAAAGTGTAAGAGCTTCTAGATTGGGAATCCAAACACAGGAGCCTCAGGACTTTGATAGAAGGAGCTCAAACAGGGCTGGACATCAGATGGTTTTTAAGTGCTTGCAGCCAGTCTTCCAACACTTGGTCCTCCTTCCAGTCTTTCAGCTCTTAGAGGATAGAAAGGATGATAGAGTCATGGAATGGTTTGGGTTGGAAAGCACATTTACAGGTCATCTAGTTCCAAGCCCCCTGCAATGAGCAGGGACATCTTTAACAAAGTCAGGTTTCTCAGAGCCCCATCCAACCTGACCTCAAATGTTTCCAGGGATGAGGCACCCACCACCTCTCTGGGCAGCCCATGCCAGTCCCTCAGCACCCTCGGTGTCAGTACTGGGATACTGAGGCATTTGTTGCCTTTTATGTGAGTGCAGCTCTGTCCCCTCAGCTGACAGTGACCAGACACTGACACAGGAGCCACGCAATGGAGCAGACATCTCTCACCAGCTCTGGGTTCATCTGGGAAGAGAAAGTCTGAGTGAAGCTGAAATTTCAATTCCAGGGTCAAATACATTCTCTCAGAGACAGAATACAGCATCAAGAGACATGTATTATTACCAATAAGAACACACAAGAACACTATCAGGAACTACAGACAGAAGAGACAGGCAGAGGTTTAAATACAATGAAATGAGTATTTATTCAGGCAGTTGAAGTTACACAACTTATGCTTCTCCAGCGCACACATCGATTGAAACAACGTCTGCTCTCAGCAACGGTGATTTAAATAAGGAATGATTTAATGCAACCACTGGGCTTGTGTCAGATTTACATCTGTATAACAATGAGCAGTTTGGCTTACCATGTTCAAAATAATTGCTGGGTATTTTGGGGGAATAAAAGAAAGTTTTCAGTACCAGGACAGGAGAACAGATCAGAGGAATGTCATCCTTCTTCCAAGCAGGATAGTGACCAATCCTGACAGCAATCCCAATGACTTTAAACACCTTCCCATCACCTTTCTCCAAATTACACTAACACTTAAATATTTTCCTTCTGGACAAGTCAAAAATTATCTCCAGAAGGAAGAATTTCTTGTGTTTCATCTCTCTCATTGAGACAAGTAAAAGTGTGAGAAAATTAGGAAAGACATCATAAATGCCCAAAGCAACTAAGCATCACAGCTGACAAGGGACAGAGCAGTCTACTATATAATGAACAGATAGACCTTTAAGGGTCAGCTCATACATAAGAACTAATATTTATGTGCACATATGGCAGATTTATAATGTTGTATTGGATACCTAGGAAATAATACAGCTTGCTTTTGTTATAATAAAAGCTGTTCCCATTCCAACAGCTTCAACAGGCTCTGGATCAGGATCCTTTATAAGTAAAAAGGTACAGGAATGTTGCATCCCAGCACAGGCTTCACAGAACAAGACCCTCTCTCCTCAGAGAATGCTGTCAAAAATAAATTAGGAAATGATCCCATAGCTGGGTAAGTTGAAGCATCCTGAATGCAACAGCATGTGCTTCACAATATTTTTGTTTGGAATGCAACATGGCCCTTATAAAGCCTTAGCTGTGTTCCTAGAATCTGCAGATTACCTGCTGGGAATACTGAATAAAACCCAATTTGGATTTTGCTACAACAGTGTTGTGCAACATAGTACAGACACACATGTCAAAACCAAGCTTTTATGGAGAAGATCAACTGGTTTAGTTCCTGCTCTCCTTGGATCTTAATTTTTCTGCTTATATGCCTACCCAGTGACAGAGAATTCAGCCTCACTGCACAGTTTGGTAAATCAAGCTCCACCAACACAAAAATAAATGCCCAGCTCAGCTGTTGGACCCCCTCTTTTCATGGTAGTTCTGGCCCAGAGCCACTGTGCAAGGCTAAGGAACAGTTTTGTCACTGGACACTGCTGACAGAGCAGTAAATCATTGCAAGTGAATCTTCAGCTGGCCTCGGATTCCCTTTAGGTCAAGGCTGAAAACTTCCACTCTGGCATTCAAAGCTGTGCACAGAGCCACAGCTCAAGCACAAACACTGATAACATTGCCACAATACACGTTTTTTGGAGATAATACCCTGCATACACCGGAAATTCCACGCTATAGCTATAGTTCCCGCAAGTTAGAAATATATTTAGGATGAATACATTACAGTCATCTGCAAACATGCAATGAATTGAGTTTTGAGCACTGTCTTTCCTATGGAAAACACCAGTCACATCTAAAAATATGGTGCAGAGAGCCAGAAGAAGCTACTGGGTCAGGCATGAAATGGGGGGCCCACATTGGGATGAAGTCTAAAGAATAAAAAAAAAAACTGCAAAAAGATTATGCATGTTAATTTAAATCATATAGAGTTAACTGGACCACCCCCGCTGCATCTTGGTGTATCCACCCCCAGAAG